TCTCTCTCTCTCTCTCTCTCTCTCTGCTTATCCTCCCCATCCTGCCTTCTCCTCTTCGTTCCCCCTACCTCTCGTTTTTCCTTCCTCTCTCCTTCATTCTTTCTCTCTTCTCTTCTCTTCTCTTCTCTTCTCTTCTTGTTGTCGCATTTTCTTCCTCCAATCCAGAGAGTACCAACCTTGTTCACCCTAGAATTTTCTCTACAATTCTAGTATTCTTCTCTCTCTCTCTCTCTCTCTCTCTCTCTCTCTCTCTCTCTCTCTCTCTCTCTCTCTCTCTCTCTCTGCTTATCCTCCCCATCCTGCCTTCTCCTCTTGCTTTCCCTCCCTCTTTCCCTCATTCTTTCTCTCTTCTCTTCTCTTCTCTTCTCTTCTTGCTGTCGCATTTTCTTCCTCCTATCCAGAGAGTACCAACCTTGTTCACCCTAGAGAGGTCTAGAATTTTCTCTAGAATCCTTGTATTCTTTTCTCTCTCTCTCTCTCTTTCTTTCTCTCTCTCTCTCTCTCTCTCTCTCTCTCTCTCTCTCTCTCTCTCTCTCTCTCTCTCTCTCTCTCTCTCTCTCTCTCTCTCTCTCTCTCTCTGCTTATCCTCCCCATCCTGCCTTCTCCTCTTCGTTCCCCCTACCTCTTGCTTTCCCTCCCTCTTTCCCTCATTCTTTCTCTCTTCTCTTCTCTTCTCTTCTTGCTGTCGCATTTTCTTCCTCCTATCCAGAGAGTACCAACCTTGTTCACCCTAGAGAGGTCTAGAATTTTCTCTAGAATTTTAGTATTCTTTTCTCTCTCTCTCTCTCTCTCTCTCTCTGCTTATCCTCCCCATCCTCTCGCTTTCCCTCCCTCTTTCCCTCATTCTTTCTCTCTTCTCTTCTCTTCTCTTCTCTTCTTGCTGTCGCATTTTCTTCCTCCTATCTCGACCTGATCTTCTTTCAAAAGAATTCCACAGTAGACTGGCGCGCTGATCGACCCCATCGGACAGGGACTGCTCTGTCAGGCCATCAATAGCGAGCCAGACCTAAAAATCCACAGTGAAAAGAAAAAAGGAATATGGCAGAAAAAACTTTTTTCTATTTTCTTTCTCTCTTTATATATATATATTTTTGTCATTGTGTGTGTGTTCTTTTAATCTGTCTGTCTCTTCTGCTGTTCTTTACTCTCTGTCTCTTCTTCTCTCTAGATCTGTCTATCTGTTACTTTTATCTCTATATATCTATATTTATCTATATATCTCTATATATCTCTATATCTATCTCTATATCTATTTGTCTGTCTGCCTTTCTCTCTCTCTCTCTCTCTCTCTCTCTCTCTCTCTCTCTCTCTCTCTCTCTCTCTCTCTCTCTCTCTCTCTCTCTCTCTCTCTCTCTCTATCTCTCTCTATCTCTATCTCTCTCTCTCTCTCTTCCTCTCCCTTCCTCTCCCTCTCTCTCCCCCTCCTCTCCCTCCCTCTCCCTCCCTCTCCCTCTCTCTCTCTCTCTCTCTCTCTCTCTCTCTCTCTCTCTCTCTCTCTCTCTCTCTCTCTCTCTCTCTCTCTCTCTCCTTCTCCCTCCCTCCCTCCCTCCCCCTCCCCCTCCCCCTCCCTCTCTCTCTCCTTCCTCTCTCTCTCTCTCGCCCTCTCTTTCCCCCCTCCCTCTCCCCCTCCCTCTCTCTCTCCTTCCTCTCTCTCTCTCTCGCCCTCTCTTCCCCCCCCCCTCTTTCTCACACTCTTCGAATCTCCTCCCTTAATTCTATCGCAAACTCTCCTCCATTACTGAACTTCAAGGCTCAAGATCGAATGCCTGATAATGGCGCAGAGATCTCTTGGAGGAAGAACTGCACCTAGTTGGGATATTTTATTCCAATTTTTCGCAATGGGTATACTAATTTTACTTTGTTTGATTATTATTATTTTTTTACAATATGTATATATGTATATGTGTGTATATATATATATATATATATATATATATATATATATATATATATATATATATATATATATATATATATATATATATATATATGTATATATATATATACATATATATATATATATATATATATATATATATATATATATATATATATATATATATATATATATATATATATATATGTATATATATATACATATATATATATATATATATATATATATATATATATATATATATATATATATATATATATATATATATATATATATATATATATATATATATATATATATGTATGTATGTATAAGCTGTTAGTTCTCTTTATATATGATAACTTGGCTGCTAATTACTAATCAGTATTATATACCAAGTTTGTTTTCATTTTTAATCCTTTCATGAAGAAAAAATAGATATGGAAGATTCCCTAATCTAGAATTGCTGAGAGTAATTTGTAATTGTAGCTGAAGAGATGTTGCGTAATCTATCATTATCATAATTTTATATACCATTACCATCAACAGTTCCTTTTGGACTTTCTTAGTATAGTCTATTGTAATTTATTGCTTGTTTACGATCTCTTATTTTATGATTTTGATATCTTTCCCTTTATCACTTATGCTTATTCTAATCTAATTTTGACTTCTCAGTCTTTCCTCTCTTAATTATTGTATATTTCACCTTTCCTACTCATATTTTCGTCTCCGTTTCCCCTTTAATATCTCGCTAATTAACTGCAAGATGGAAATCACAGGTGTTTGCGACAGATCCTTTGTTATTCACTTATAATAATCCTCCCTTTGATCTTCGCTTGAAAATATGCATCTGGATTCCTTAATTAGTTTATTTTTTCAGATTTTTTTTTTTTTTTTTCCCCATATCAAGTCTTATGTCTTTGAAATCCTCAGCGAACTGTTGGAATTTTGTCATATGTTAAATGGCGGGAGTATTTGATTTGTGCTTTGCGTTGCTTCTTTGTTTGTCTGTTGGTTGTCTCTGCGTGTGTGTGCTTACAGGGGGAGTATTTGTCTCACTCTCTCTCTCTCCATATATATATATATATGTATATATATATATATATATATATATATATATATATATATATATATATATATATGTATTATATATATATATATATATATATATATATATATATATATATATATATATATATATATATATATATATATATATATATATATATATATATATATATATATATATATATATATATATATATATATATATATATATATATATATATATATATATATATATATATATATATATATATATATATATATATATATATATATATATAGTATACACTATCTATTTATCCTTCTGTCTATCTATCTATTTATATGTATGTATATATCTTTATCTATCTATCTATATGTATGTACATCTGTCTATCTATCTATCTATATGTATGTATATCTGTCTATCTATCTATCTATATGTATGTATATCTGTCTATCTATCTATCTATCTATATGTATTATGTCTCTCTGTGTGCCTATCTATCTCTCTGTATCTATCTTGCGAGGAGAGAGAGAGAGAGAAAGAAAAAAAAACTCTCTTTACTTCCACCCAGCACGTGCTCCATTAAAACGACGTCCATGTTAAGGCCCTTGATTCGTAGCGCTTTTATTATGCAACGTCGCGAAATTAAAACTCGGCCAAGATTTTTTTTTTTTTTTTTTTTTTTTTTTTTTAGTCAGAGACACGTTATGAACTTCAGGCTCTAACGAGAAATCTTGAGAAAGCTCAAAAAAGAGAAGAAAAGATATGGATGGATAAGAAGCTTTACTGGAATCAAATAACGTAAATAGAAATAAGGGAAATAAATAAGGTGACACTTACAGGAAGAATTGATATTTTTGTTGTTGTTGTTGTTGTTTGCTGAATAAACAATTATTCATTACGTTTTCTTTTGTTTGCCTCATTCTTCTTTCCATGCATTTATATGATGTAGTTCTAATATCAAAGTAAAAATAGTAATAGAAAAAAAAACAAGTATTCCATAACTACATGTCATATATCACAAGGTACCAATACCCCTCCCCTGCTCTGAAGTGACTAATTCCATGCCAAGTTGTGACAGATCGTGCCACAATGATATATACGATAGCCTCACGACAGAAATATGACACCATATGTAATAAAGGCACCATATATCACGTTAAGTAAAATATTTACAATCTGACATGTAAAAGTAGGCCTATAATAACGAAAAACGGGGACTCTTTCATGTGTCCCATCAGTATATCAAACGGGCAAACACTGGCCATATACATACATGCATACATTACGCACAGTATATACGTCTGTCCTTACACATACATACGTGTATGTGTGTAGGGAGGCGGTATCTTTTATTTGTGTGTGTGTGTGTGTGCGTGTGTGTGTGTGTGTATGTGTGTGTGTGTGTGTGTGTGTGTGTGTGTGTGTGTGTGTGTGTGTGTTTGAGTGTGTGTGTGTGTGTGTGTGTGTATGTGTGTGTATATGTGTGTATATATATGTATATATATATATATATATATATATATATATATATATATATATATATACGCATATATAGATAGATAGATAGATAGATATAGATATATATCTGTATATACATATGTGTATATGTATATATATATATATATATATATATATATATATATATATATATATATATATATATATATATATATATATATGCTATATATATATATGTATATATATATATATATATATATATATATATATATATATATATATATATATATATGTATATATCTATATATATATATCTATATATATATATGTGTATGTATATATATATATATATATTATATATATATATATATTATAGTATATATATATATATATATATATATATATTATATATGTGTGTATGTATATATATATATATATATATAATATATATATATATATATATATATATATATATATATATATATATATATATATAACACAAACATATATATCGCTCAATATATAAATCAGCAAAGAAAATTCCCGACGCACACCAAACACGGAACCCAAACATTAAAACAAGTTCCTTTCGGCCGCCTGTTTGTCCCCCGAATGGACGCCTTTCCGAGCCGAGATTTGGCGGCGCTCCTACAATGGGAGAGGCACAGGCGCGCGAGAGTGAGGGATTCAGCTGCACTCTTTCGCAGAATAATGGAAGTTCCTAAGAAAATCGTGAGGCGTGAGATTGTGTTTCGTTCATGGTTGTTGTTTTGTTGAGGTTATAATTCCCCCTTTTTTTTGTTTGTTGTTGTTGTTATTGTTGTTGTGGTTATATTGTCGGTATGTGACGGATTTGAATGGTTTTTGTGTTTGTTTGCCTTTTTTGGCAGGGTATTTGTATATTTTTTTCGACTCTAATCTTTTGTTTTTATGTCTGTTCTGAATTTTATTTATTTTCATATTTGTGTGTTTGTTTATGGTTCTCTCTCTCTCTCTCTCTCTCTCTCTCTCTCTCTCTCTCTCTCTCTCTCTCTCTCTCTCTCTCTCTCTCTCTCTCTCTCTCTCTCTCTCTCTCTAGATGTAATATACTCCTCGGCATCGAAAATACCATCTACATATTCTGGCCATGCTATCAGTAGGACTCTTCATTGGCTGAGAGTTGTCTAATAAATCTCTGTCATATAATTCTCAGTAAAAACAACAACAAAGAAAAATAGGAGTGAAAAAAATTAATGTATGTCTTGATGTTTTATCGACCATCCATTCAACCAGGAGGGGCCATACAAGCGTAATATATTCTCGTATAAACCAAGTGATACATTTTTGGTGAAAATAATCATAGTAACAATTGTTGCCATAGTTGTTGCATAACACGTATTATAAAATCATGGATAATTGGATGAAAATGTTTTTGTTTTTTTTTGCTACGACATTATATCTACAAAAAAGCCTCATAATAATTAGTATTCAACCATAGCAAGTAGGAAGAAAGGAGTAAGGAAGGGGAAGAAGACCAGGTTTTTTACTCTAATATGAAAAGAAATTCCTAAGCCTATTTGGCCATAGATATACTAAAGTGGATTAAAGAGGATGTGACAGAAGGGAAAGAAAAAGAAGGGGAAAAGAGGGGAAAGAGATGAACAGTCGGAAGCAGGGAGAGGGGAATGCAGAGGCAGACGGAAAGCTTTAAACGAATCGGAGGGAAAAGAGACGAAGGGAGTGGAAGGGAAAATGACAGAGAAAGTGGAGGGGAAAGAGATGGAGAGAATGAAGGTCAAAAAGAGATCAATAGAATGAGGAAAAAGAGATAGAGAAAATGAAAGGGAAAAAGAGAAGAAGCACAACATAAAAAAAAAAACATAAAAAAAACATTAAGATTTAAAAAAAAACGGAGAGGAAACTAATAAAGAGAGAGCAAGGAAAAGAGATAAAGAGATAGTGAAGAAGATGAAGGTGGTTGGATGGAACAGAGCATGCTGAGATACCGAGATACATGTCGAGAAACTCTTACAACTTTTCTGCATCAAAATCATTGTCAAGTTTCCAGGCAGACCCCTTTACACGAGCAGGGTGGAATTGCGTCATCATTAGAAGGGAGAATGTAGCAGCAGAGGCGAGACTGGATATGAGGATGATGCGGAGGAGAGAAGAGGAAAGAAGAGAAGAGAGAAGAGGAAAGAGGAGAAGGAGGAAGATAGATTCGTGGGTAAATATACAAAAAAAGGTGGAAAGTGGAAAAGGAAGAAGATAGATTTATGTATGAGGATGGTGAGGAAGAGAAAAGAGGAGAAAAGAGAAAAGTGGGGAAGGAAGAAAATAGATTTATGAGCAAATATGAAGAAGGTGCGGAGGAATGAAACGAAAAGAGAAGAAAGAATAGAAAGAAAAGAAATAAGTAGGAAGAAGGAAGACTTGTGTGTAAATATGAAATGGTGAGGAACAGAAAAGTGAAGAAGGAAGGAGAGACAAGAAGAAAGAAGATTCAAGTATGAATATAAGGAAGGTGCGGCGTAGAAAAGACACAAGAGGATAAAGAAGAATAACCAGAAGAGAAAAGAGGAGGAAGAAAATAGATTTGTGGGCAAGTATGAGGATAGAAAAGATAAAGTTTGATATATCCCCAAAAAATCCATCTCTCTAGATTCGAATACGCACAAACAACAACAACAACAACAGAAGGAAAAGATCACATCACTTCCTCTTTTTTAGCCTTACATTTTTCCTTGTTTTTTTCCCTCCCTAATCCTCAATAGTGAAAGTGCAATTCCCGCGGATTACAAGGGGAGCACGCAAATGCTTCCACGGAAAACAAAGAGAAGAGATACAAAGAAATAGAACGAGAATAAGAAAATGAAAAGGAGGGTTGATATTGATAACAATAATGGAGAGGATGGCAGTGATGATGGTAATGATAAGAACAATAACAATGATATCAAAAGAAATGATAATGATGATGGTGATGATGGGAGGAGGACGAGCAGAAAGAAGTGGAATAATAAAAAGATTATTGTTAGAATAAACAAGGGAAATAAGAATGAAGTGAAGAAAATAAGACCATAAGGAAAGGAGACAACAAATGAGTGGATGTAACTCATTCTCCAAGCGCCACCTATTCTCGCATTCTGATGTGTTGCTGATTATCTATTTCTTCTTCTTCTTCTTCTTCTTCTTCTTCTTCTTCTTCTTCTTCTTCTTTTTTTTCTTCTTCTCCTTCCTAATTTTCTTCATCTTC